GAGGATGCCCAGGCAACTGGACCAGCACCCAGCACTAGCAAGGACTCGCCTGAGGATGCCCAGACAACTGGACCAGCACCTATCACTAGCAAGGACTCGCCTGAGGATGCCCAGACAACTGGACCAGCACCTAGCACTAGGAAGGACTCGCCTGAGGATGCCCAGGCAACTGGACCAGCACCCAGCACTAGCAAGGACTCGCCTGAGGATGCCCAGACAACTGGACCAGCACCTATCACTAGCAAGGACTCGCCTGAGGATGCCCAGACAACTGGACCAGCACCTAGCACTAGGAAGGACTCGCCTGAGGATGCCCAGGCAACTGGACCAGCACCCAGCACTAGCAAGGACTCGCCTGAGGATGCCCAGGCAGCTGGACCAGCACCCAGCACTAGCTATAACTTACCTGGGCATCCTTACCTGCACTTGAGCTGGGCATAACTTACCTGCACTTGAGCTGTACAACACAGTTCTAATGACATAAATGTACAAAGTATAAAAAGTGTAGTTTAAGTGATACAGTACAGTACACGTTAACTTCAGTAGTGTGATTCTAGTGGTCTGAACTTTATGTACAGACTGTAGTGTATAATGTACATTTGTTAGAAAAGTTACTGTTCTTTAATGAATTTATATTCATATCATATCTGGCACTCTCAGGGTATTGAGGCTAAAAGTCTGCATTACACAACTCAGCTGGTAAGGTAAGTACAGTAAAACACAATAACAATTTATTGCTAGATTTAAAAACTAGATTTTATATTTAGAAAGAGTACATAAATTAAGCTTTAATTTTCTTTTTTTCGGGGGGGTGGGGGGTCGGAGGGTTTTTTTTGGGGGGCCGGACAGATGGAACGAAATCCGCACTGGAACGAATCGGCCTCACCCCATATAGTTCGTTCAAGTGAGGACACACTGTACTTACAGGGCACCTAGGGAAGGAAACCCTAGGCGCATGCAGCCCGAGTACTGGAGAATCACTCCCGGCTCACGCACCACCTAGAAGACAGTCACCACACACCACAGTGCTGAAACAACCACCGGAGCAAGAGCACATGACCTCAGCCTTTAGCATCAGCCAAAGAACTGGGGGTGTGGATCGCCGGCGTGGGAAGTCTGGGGCTCCCCCTTCCCCCTTCCCAGGAGGGGGGAGCTACTCAGACAGCGGTGCAGCGACGGGTGACGTCATATTAGTTTGCTAGTTTTTGTTTGGGGAGTTCTATTCACCCATTCGGCTTTTTGGTTGCAATTTTCACCACAACAGGGGGTTTGCTTTGGGATGCTTACCTTTCTGGGTGCCTGACCCGCTCGATGGCAGACACAGAATGCTTCCAACTACACGGGGGTTTCTATAGGCCATTGCTCTCCTTGCCTCTTCTGAGGGGGCCAGGTTCTGGCTCGTGGTCCCCGGTAGGCCCATAGAACTCTGTACACATGACTGATGCCAAAGTCTGACATTAGCATATCAGCCTAGTAAGCTCCGGGGAGCCGAAGGGGCTCCCCCCAGAAAATATTTTTTAGGGAAATTTGTTGTTTTTTTTTTAGTTTTTTTCCTCCTTTGTTTATTATTTGAATTTGTTTTAACCTTTACATCCTGGAGAATGCATATTCATCCCTAATTATGTGATGTGACAAAATCAGAGATGTGGTTTATATGATCATGATGTACTGCATAATGCAAATGCTTCACAATTATCCTCCCAAAGTTATTACAAAGTAGTATCTTTTATCAGAATTATCTCTTCCTTTCGATTACCATATATTAACTAGTTCAGCCAATGGCACCGATACTTTTGAGATCTTCAAGATTATTAATGAGTGCAGAAAAATCATCCTAATAACAATGAACTCATTCACACAAGTCATTCCGCATATTTGATACTGAAGGATAACAATAAGGATTCACTGGCACCAATATCCATTGGGATTTAGCCCCAACCTAAGGTCTACCACCCTCCCTGCTTCAGGCCAATTACCAGGAGGATAACACACTGGTTCAGGCCCACCCAAGGTCAACGACACACTGGTTCAGGCCCACCCGAGGTCAACGACACACTGGTTCAGGCCCACCCAAGGTCAACAATACAGTGGGTCAAATCCACCCCAGATCAATGACACAGTTGGCCAAGGCCACCTTGGGTAAACCCAACCCTGGGCCACTGCACCCTGGGCCACTGCACCCTGGGCCACTGCACCCTGGGCCACTGCACCCTGGGTACCTGCACCCTGGGCCACTGCACCCTGGGCCACTGCACCCTGGGCCACTGCACCCTGGGCCACTGCACCCTGGGCCACTGCACCCTGGGTCACTGCACCCTGGGTCACTGCACCCTGGGTCACTGCACCCTGGGTCACTGCACCCTGGGTCACTGCACCAAAGGTGTAAAACACCGAACCTTTATGTAATGAGTAAATGATGATCATAAATATTATGACGAAACTTTAATGCCATATACATTTGACTCAATGAACATTTACATTAAAATTTGATTTGTTTCCAAGTACAAATATAGATTACAAAGCCTATAAAACAACCTGATGAGATGAGATGAGATGAGGAGAAGACGACATCACCGACACTCTTCAATGGTATTTGTCACATAATGACATCCAATTAAGCCCCAACAAGAAATTAAACTTTTTCTAATATATGTGAATTACAAAAACCATGTATTCCATTGCAATGCTTCGAGTGATCCCAAAGAAAGTTATATTTAAGTTAATGGGACATATATCAGCAGAGTCATCGGTGACTCTCTCCATCGCTAAAACTAATTAATCAACACAAAGTGAGAGCGTGATGGAAACACTACGCTACCCCACATAAAAGTAAGAGGCAGTACCACAATATATACAAGTGACTTGAGACTGACTACAGGTGTTTATGGTGGTCAGAGTAGTTAGCCTCAGTGAGATCAAACACTGTGTTAGAAGCTGGTCAGTGTAGCTAGCTTGTGAGATCAAACACCGTGTTAGGAGGGTGCTGCCGCCACGTCTCTCAAAAGCCAAATTAATAATATCCAGCACCATATTAAGGGTAGGATGCACCACCACTCTGCACCTGATAGTACTGAACAGATCAAGCAGTGGACCAAGCAAAAATGTGTGCAACAGGTCTGGTAACTTCCCGCATCCTATTTGGAACTACTGACCCTAAAGTTATTACCTTAAAAAAAATTACAAAGTTCATTTTGACCTTAGAAACACAAATACCGGAACGATTCATTTATCAGTTTAAATGCGAATAACATACGTTACCAGACCCTCCAGCACTGTTTTTGCATGGCAATAGTATAAGAAAAATCCCAGTGGGGTTTGGCAACTGGGTCTACATACCTACATCAACAAAAAAATATTATTTTGAGAGAAAAATAGTATTTTGAGTTGATAAGACACCCATTACTGCACTATTGGAGAGAATTTGACTATAGTTACAACTAGAGTGACCATGTTGTAAGCAATATATCGGCAACAAGGGTAATGTAACCCTTCACCCGTTACTAACACTAGTTCAAAAATCATAATAGGTTTTGGATGTAAAAAATGGTTTAAATTGAGGACTAAGATTCATGCATTTTGATAATATTTTTTCAACTTCCAAGAATTATTTATGTTTACTCTTCTTCTGTGATCAATTTCATTAAAGGGATTTGCACACTGTACATAATTCCTTACCACCTTCTTCACCTTCATCAAAAGCAAAGGCAAAAAATGTTCCATTAAAATTTGCAGTGAACTTGCATCTACGTTTCTACATGTTAAAATTCATGTGATTGTCGCAACAAGAAAAATACTGCACAGGAAAGCAACCAATAAAACTACAGGAAGAGGTATGAAGGTGGTAAACAAATGCTGGCTTTGTACAGTATTTATAATGACAAATTATCCATATTGCTGAACCAAAAGTATATTCCAACACCGTTCCAGTACATACTGTCATTAGTTTCAGTTAAGAAAATACAATAAACTATTGTACAGAAAGTCTTGAAATGTACATTTTGTAAAACAATGTGGGTTTTAGCAGCTTGTCATTTCCACATTAATGGGAGGTTAATGCACTACTGTGTTCACATCTTGTAATACAAGCACCATGACCAAAACTTCATAATGCCAGCAGGTAATTATTAAATAAACAATCATTATTATAGCAAGTACTACTCTTATTATTGAAATACATTACTTAAATATAGGACTATTTTTTTTGTATTTAAATGTTCAACATTTTTTAACCCCCAAAAATTCCGGAAAATCTGTCGGAGTGAGTGTGGTCGGAAATTTTAGAACACAAACGGTCACCCTAGTTAGAACTCAACTGCCAAATAAAAAAAAATCAACTTTTTGTATGTACCACCAAAAATGTTACTGACAAACTAGCAACGTTAGCTGCATCACGATGCCAGTATCCTGTGCTGTAAGAGTCTGAGATTACATGTGTGTGTGTTGCTCTTATCTTTCTTACAAATTTTCACACAACTTTCTAATGTTGTCTTTAAACACTTTATATTGCACTCAAGCCATGTGGGTCCAACATCAGGACAAGTAAATGCAATATTAATATGCCTTGACAAAATAATATTTCTTTGAATATTTAAGTCTTAAACAGGAATTAAAACCTATCTAATTTTAATAGTTTGTATAACACCATCATGTAAGAACTGTATTTTTGTCAATACAAAAATTAAAAGCTGTTACGTATTAAATGTGTGACAATACTTCTGTGAACTGAAAAATTATAAAACGACATTTCTTACATTTTCACATTGATTCCTAAAACACGCAGATCTAGGATACAAAGGTTATTGGTTAGTTTTCCTGGACTCAACACATCTTAGTCATTCAAAATTTTGAGTTTAACTGCATCAACTTCAAGGCTTTTTAACCATATTGCAAGACTATGAGAACCCACAAGCATGATCAACAAGCCTGCAAAAATGGCCACCCGGTGGACCTATGGCACAACTCTGAAGTCAGGGCAACAGGATTACTCTTCCAGGTCTAACCTGCAATGTTGACACAGAATTTGTTGGTAACGCCCCACTCATCGCGTAAGCTCAGGTTGAACATGGAGTAATCAGGGCGGCCTGTTACTTCCGAGTCAATAGTGAGGAAAGAGGGCAGGCGGCGCTGCAGTTCCTCAGAAGGAAGAGTGGAATATGTCTCCAAGAGGATAAGCCCTTCACACCTGTAAAGAAAGATAAAGAAATGTTAATGCTGGAACAAACTTGCATGATTTTTGGCAATGTTCACTCTGATATAAATAACTAGAAAAAACAGGGTTGAATGTAATGAAATGCCATTTTCTGGGTGAGCCCCGGAGGGTCCTGGAGCTATCGGGCTAATGTGTGGTATATTAGACTGGGGCCTGCCTAATATACCACACATAATAACACTATCGCTCGCTTTGGACACCAATCACGTCCACTTTTTTTCTCTCGAGTCCTAGCCATAGACAGAGCTCGCGTCCAATACAAAAATATTTGTATAAAATTCATTTTTTATCCAATCGACTTCAGAATAATTTCAAAATAAGCGCCTTTAGAGTGCACACAATTTGACACCAAAATGAAAGATGTAACACGAAACTTGATGTCAGAATACTTGATAGACTATAAATACATTTTTGCTCAAAATTTTAAAATATTTGTTAAAATGCTATTTATTGTGCTACTATTTTGGGACTAGTTTTAAAATGCTCGCCTTTACATTGCAAACAATTTGATACCAAAATGAAAGATGTAACACAAACATTTATGTCAGAACACTAGAAAGATATAAATAATTTTGTGATGAGCTTCCAAAATTAAAATATTTGTTAAAATTCCATTTAATGCTCTATTATTATGGGACTAGTTTTAAAATACGCACATTTATATTGCAAAAAATTTGATACTAAAATGAAAGACGTAACACGAAAATTGATGTTATCAAACTGAACGAGTATACACATTAGATTGCGGTGTGCCAATTGGTGCTCGTTTACAGGTAACTTTAGGCTTTCTTGCGGGGAGGCACGCCGGGCTTTTATACATTATATGCACATACACCTGTTGGAATTTAATTGCAAACACAATGATACCAAAACGAACGCCGTAGCACGAGAGTTAAGGTGAGAAAACTAAAACGAGTATACACATTTTACTGATTTTGTGCGCCCACGGGTAACTTTTGCCACCTTTAGGCTTTGCTGTTGGGAGTCATGCCAGGCTTTTGGACATTATTTGCATATACACTTGTAGGGAATTCTATTGCAAACACAATGATACCAAAACAAATGACATACAGAGCACCACTTGGTTTCCGAACCCCTTGGGGACGAGACCCGTCGGTTAACATGTAAGTTCGTATACGAGAAATAGAGGGGAAAAAATAAACTAGAAATGTAAAAAGAAATTTTTCCGAAAAATTTATGAAAAAAAACTCTAGGGGAAAAAATCGTCAGGTTCATGGCGTAAATGCGACCGTGTTTTGTTTGTACTCATCAATAAGTGAAGTCCTGATCCGCTTTATAAAAGTCCTTAATTGTTCCTAACTGATTATTAAGACGTCTGGCAAACATCCTCTGGATGTTTCCTGCCAGCCTGCAGGCACATCCTGCCTAAAATATACGATGATGTACTGTACATTTAAGAAACAAATCTGGGTCACAGGTCTGTGGAGTGTGGTTAGGCTTACGGAGTCAGCCAGTCCCTCCCCCACCACCAACACACCTCCCCATCTCCCCCCACCACCGACACACCTTCCCCTCTCCCCCCACCACCGACACACCTCCCCCTCTCCCCCCACCACCGACACACCTCCCCCTCTCCCCCACCACCGACACACCACCCCCACCCCAAACCCCCCCACACACACACACACACACACACACACACACACACACACTGATTCAAAAGGTGACACCCCTAGGGTCAACACTTGCAGCAGAGGAGCTCCAGCATATTTCAACAATCCTAAGTATTGTAGTACAGGTTGATGGTAGTGAGTGGTGTCCCACAGAACATAAAGGTATAGTGCTCTTGAAAAATAGGTGAGATAACAGGAAAGTGCTAAGGGAAGTGAAGAATCGGATGAGAAAAAGTTGCCCTAGTGTTTACAGTGCAGAGAAGAACATTCAAGATGGCCACTGGCAAGGGGAAAAACAAAACAGAGCTTGATTTTGAGGGATTCAATGAAGAAAGCATTGATATTAGTAGTCTACATAACAAGTTGGTAAATTTAGATACTATAGTGAACTCTCATGTAGAAATAATTAGTAAATTGAAAGAAAGTAATGACCATTTGAATAGCAAAGTTTTATGTCTTGAGGGTTTAGTGAAAGACTTGCGCAAGGATAAGAATCAATTGGAAACAAATTGCAAAGCCATGGAAGAAGAAAATAAACTCTTAAAAATAGCTTTGGAAGAAGTTAAAGTAAATTTAAACATAAATGACTACAATAGGTTAGGCAAGGAAATTCAACAGGAGAAACAGCTTTTGTCAGCACAGATGGAGGAAGTTACACAGGGAATAGAACAGTGCAAGAAAGATATGCAACTCACTTATGCACAAGTGGCCAAGGAGAAGGAAAAAATAGAAGAAGCAGTAAAGGAAGTCAAACACTGCAGCAACCAAGATAAAACAAACATTAGGCTAGAAGTGAGGAAAGAATTGGCATCTAACCCGAAGTTGGTGCAAAACACAGTTGATCGGAGTAAGTCCCTGATCATTTTTGGCTGCAAAGAAAAGGCGATAACATCTAGGTCAGAAAGAGCTGTAGAAGAAGCTAAAGTAGTAGATAAAATTGTTGGCCTCGTGGAAGGTCTTACAAACAGAGAGAATGTGTGCGACTACAGGAGAATAGGCAGGTACGTAAAAGGGAAAGATCGACCTTTGAGGATCACCCTAAACGGTGCCAAACAGATGGAAGAAGTACTAAGGAATGCTAGAAAATTGCAAAGGGATGAGGATGGGAAAGGGTGGTCGTTAAGACGAGATCTTTCAAAAGAAGATAGAGAGAAGCTGAAACTGAACCTCGCCGAGGCAAAACATTTAAATGAGAGCAGGAATGAAGAAGAAATAAATTCTTTTTTCTACAAAGTGATAGGGGTAGGCAAACCAGTAAAGTGGTACATAAAGGCAAACCAACAAAATCAATAGAGAGAGGGGGAGTGAAGAATAAGGAGAGGGGGAACAAGTTCCTGAAGATTGCATACACCAACATAGATGGAGTGAGATCGAAGATACTGGAGTTAAGTGATGTAATACAGCTGCAGACACCAGACATTGTTGCACTCACGGAGACAAAACTTGAAGATGTAATTTTAAATGAGGTCATATTCCCAAGGGGCTACTCAATTTGGAGACGGGACAGAAAAATTAGGAAAGGCGGTGGCGTTGCTGTGCTGGTAAAAGAACACCTAAAGGTGAAGGAAATAATGACTGCCAATCCACAAGAAGTTGACATAATAACACTAGAGATCTGCTATGAGGATGATAAACTAATGATGATAAATGCATATAGTCCACCGCCAAGCAGCACATGGTCAAAGGAGGAGCTAGATAGTAAACGTGAAGGTCTTATAACAATAATGAGAGAGATTATAGCGAGAGCGGATAACGATAGATCACGACTGTTGATAGTCGGTGACTTCAACTTGAAATCCATAGACTGGGAAGCATATGAAGCTAAAACAGAAGATTTTTGGACCTGTAAATTTGTAGACCTCATCCTGGAAACATTCTTGTATCAACATGTTAAACAAGCTACGAGGATGAGGGAAGGGGACGTTCCCTCCATGCTAGATTTGATATTTACCAGGAAGGAGGAAGAGATATTTGACATTCAGTACCTTCCTCCCTTGGGTAAAAGTGACCATGTCTTTTTGGGAATAAAGTATGCAATGCGTTATAAGCTGGAAGAAAATAAGGAGGTTGAAGCAGTTGAAAAACCAGACTTCAGGAGAGGACATTATGGTGACCTTAGAAATTTTTTTAGTGAGTATAATTGGACAGACTTGATGCTAGGCAAGGAAGTGAATGAGATGTATGGCAAGTTTTGTGAAATATATGATAAAGGCACAAAAAAATTTATACCAAAACAGAGATGCAGGACCAGAAAACAGGATTGGTTCGACAGAAATTGTGAGAGGGCAAGAGACCAAAAGACACAAAAATGGAATCAGTATAGGAAGAGGCCAAACCCCCAAACATACCAGCGATACAAAGATGCGAGAAACAATTATACAGCAGTAAGGAGAGAGGCAGAAAGAAATTTTGAAAAAGGGATAGCAGATAAATGTAAAACAGAACCGGGCCTATTCTACAAATTCATAAACAACAAATTGCAGGTAAAGGATAATATCCAGAGGTTGGAAATGGGAAACAGATTCACGGAAAATGAAAAGGAAATGTGTGAAACATTAAATGAAAAGTTCCAAAGTGTGTTTGTACAAAATGAAATCTTCAGAGAACCAGACACAATAAGAATTCCAGAGAACAACATAGAGCGGATAGAGGTGTCTAGAGATGAAGTGGAAAATATGCTAAAGGAGCTCGGGAGGAACAAAGCAGCTGGCCCAGATGGCGTTTCACCATGGGTTCTGAGAGAATGTGCATCTGAGCTCAGCATTCCACTTCACCTGATCTTTCAGGCATCCCTGTGTACAGGAATCGTAGCAGACGTGTGGAAACAGGCTAACATAGTTCCAATCTACAAAAGTGGCAGCAGGGAAGACCCCCTCAATTATAGACCTGTATCATTGACAAGTGTAATAGTGAAAGTATTGGAAAAGCTAATCAAAACTAAATGGGTAGAACACCTGGAGAGAAATGATATAATATCAGACAGACAGTATGGTTTTCGATCAGGAAGATCCTGTGTATCGAATTTACTCAGTTTCTATGATCGGGCCACAGAGATATTACAGGAAAGAGATGGCTGGGTTGACTGCATCTATCTGGACCTAAAAAAGGCTTTCGACAGAGTTCCACATAAGAGGTTGTTCTGGAAACTGGAAAATATTGGAGGGGTGACAGGTAAGCTTCTATCATGGATGAAAAATTTTCTGACTGATAGAAAAATGAGGGCAGTAATCAGAGGCAATGTATCGGAATGGAGAAATGTCACAAGTGGAGTACCACAGGGTTCAGTTCTTGCACCAGTGATGTTTATTGTGTACATAAATGATCTACCAGTTGGTATAC